TATGATCCTCTTCTACTTGTCATGCATCGGCTTCTATGGCAAGCGTCCAGACATCAACTACAAGAATACAAAGGCATACATTGAAAAAGGTGTTACTGATCCTCTTGACATTCAGTGGTTGGTCGGTGAGATACCCTAGCAAAAAGAGGGATCACTGTATGAAAAAGTTATTTTTCCTTCTATCTATTTAACAGATTTTATTTTACAATGAATGCTAAATATTTTCCCCTAATTTTTTTTGCAGTGACTGTGGTGTATACGTGGCTGCATTTGCAGAATATGTCAGCATTGGAGAGCTAGAGATTTCAAAGGAAAACCTTTCTGATATTGATCAACACCGTAGATGCTATGGGGCGCTATTTTGAGATTATGCTAGGAAAAGCAAGAGCTTGGTACAATTAGTAAAAGTGAGGTGACTGGCAGATTAGTAAGAAGAAAAGATACACCAGCTGTGAACGAGAAAACACAAGTCCAGAAAAAGAAGAATTAGTTGCCCTTTTCTGTAGAAAAATTATAGTTAAATTGTTTAGTTGTAGCTGGTTTGTAATAAAGTTGTAGACAAATTATTAACTAAGAACAAGTCAGCTACAATTTATTTGTAGCAGATTTGTTCTACAATTGTTTTACCTTTTGTTTTGTTATTTTGTCCAGAATTTTACTACTTAGAATAGAAAATATATGGGTTTTTTTTCGGTTGAAAGTTGTTAGTACTTGATCTCGATATTGTTAGCATATAATTTCTTTACAGTTTAACTACAATTATGTCTACAACTAATATACAAAAAATACATAATTCATTCAATTTTAAGCAGTGTTGTTAGAAAAGGCTGAAATAAATAAACTCAGTAATTGAACAAAACAACTACAAACCAATTGTATTAAGAGTTGAAAATATTTTATTATACGAGACAGTCTTTATTTAAAGTAGCAACATAATTACACCTCAACTATAATTCTCCAGAACTAAACAAATACAACTTCGTATCTTAAACTACATATTATCTTCAACAGTACTCAGGAAAAAAAATCTTGTGACTGTATCAATTTTTATTTCCTTTTGGAAGCATTCTTACAAGATCTTTTGTTATGCCCTTCTAGTCCGCAGTTGCCACATGAAACCTTGTACTTCTTTGCATTTACTTCGTCATATGGTTTGTATCTTTATTTTTGAGGTCTCCCTGGCTGTCTTTTCCCAGTAGGTGACATCACAACTTCTTCAGCTATATGTTGTGGCACATTCCATTTGCTTTCGTTAGGCAGCGGGTCTACTGGTATTTTATAAGTATGCAAAAGTCTCTCCCTCGTGTAATAAGGAGAACAATAGTTTTCATAAGACTCGTTTCTGTGCCTCAAAGCCGCCAAAGCATGTGCACAAGGAAGTTCATCAAGCTGGAGTTGTCCACAACTACATCTTTTGTTTTGAAGGGAAACAATGAATCGCTTCACACCATCTATCACAATATGGATGTGATCTCTGGAAGCCCTCACCTACAATTTCATTACAAACACACAACAAGTTGTCAGCAACATATGCAAAATAACTACAATTATACAACACTTTATCTACAATTAACAGTATATATTTAGTTTGATGGAATCAATGATCTGATGTTACTGGCTATAGCTTACTCTCATCTTCTGCGATAATGTCCTGTTGTCGTCCAACTCTTTGTTGTATTTTTTCCAAGGTATGTGAACGTACCCTTTGCTTTCAATAACTTTTCATTAGTCCAACGTTCAAGAAGAATCCTCATGTACTCTAATAGTTCTATTACGGGCAGCTCTCTTGTATCTTTTGTTATCGCATTTAATGACTCTGCAATATTTGATGTCATCATCCACGTTCTGATCTCCGTAGCATGTACCCGAGACCATTTGTGATAGCCAATATCATATAGGTATACTTTAACACGTGTGTCGATCTCTTCAATCTGTGACATTCTTTCATTAAATTCATCAAGCATGTATGATCGTACCGTGGCAAAGTACAATTCGCTTAACTTTAGATGACCCTTCTTGAACTTTGACCTTACATTTGTCCAAATATGCCACATACAAGCATAATATGGCATGCCGGTATAAACAGTAGATGCTGCCTTCAAGATACTCTTATTCTGGTCCGAAACAACACACATATTTGGTTTTTCACCATACGCATGTTTGAATTGCTCAAAAAACCACGTCCATGATGCGTCATTTTCTGAATCAACAACAGTGTATGCCAGTGGTAATATGCTACCTATCACACATGTGGCAAAAAAAAAAAATTCAATTTCTTTAATAAAACTTGAGAGTATAAAAAATACATACTAAAAAATAACTTTATAATAATATTTCTACAATTAATTTACAATTAATCTACAATACATGCTGCATCCATTGTGCTATCTGTTAACATTATTCCCCTATATGCTGACTTCAAGAAAGTACCATCAACTACTACAACTAGTCTACAATACTCCAAACCCTTGATGGACGTACTAAGTGCAACAAATGCGTACAAGAAACAGTCATCTTCAGTTTTCTGCAATTTAACTAATGACCCCAGATAAGTCTTCTCTAGAATATACAAATAACTTGGCAAGCGACTGTAGGAATCAACAGAATGACCTCTCAAAAATTTCAAAGCCTTTTCCTTTGCTCTCCAAGCTTGCATGTATGTTAAGTTCACACCATATTCCGATAACATATCAGCTCGTATATCTTTTGGTGTGTATATTGTCTCAGGATCTGCATATTTTGGTATAAGCATGCTACCAACTACCATGGCAGTAGGTTTGCGTTGTATGTATTGTCCATCAAAGAGCATGTGTGCAAGCTGTTGAATTTTCGAACCTTGAACAATGCTGATTCTTTTATGCTGGTGGACTTGATGTGCCATGTACAATTATCCCCAATACATACAAGGCAGTAGCTACAGAATAAAAACAATTTAAAAAATGTGATGAAAAATATAGCTACAAAATAAGAGGCTGCTTAAGCACAAAAATCTTATATTAAACCATTTATATACAATTTATATACAAACAAACTACAAATTATACAAAATTTATATACAAAGAAACTACAAATTGTACAAAAAAATTCCAAAAACACTACAAATTAAACAAAAATATGAATTCGACAATTAAATTGTTCCTACCTTCTTGCGTTAGACATTTTCACCCTAAATTGAAACTTATTCATGACAAAATAGTGCTTCATTGCACTGACGATTGTTTGCTTGTCTTGGTAGACTTGGCCTACTTCAATAATATTTGGCGTATGTTATGATGATACTTTCATATTCCACAATCGCCGGAGATGTTGGCCTATCAATCAACTTCACTGTTTCTCATACTTCTCCAATTTTGTTACAATTGCTTGATAATTGAACCACTTTAGACATACGATAATCGGATGAACCTGCACTCAATTAAAAGTATCTACAACTCAGACCTATATTGTCGATAGGTTGTAGTAAAATCGTAGAACACGTGAAATTGAATACTTCAATAGACATAACAATTGAACTATATTTGTCATGTAGTATCATTGTAGATATGTTGTAGAAATATTGTAGAACACATGAAACTGACAAAACATCACCACTGAAAAACAGAGCAAACCTGTAATTGTGCTCGAATTAGAGATATTGCATTCCAAATCGAAATCACGCACTGTTATACACATCAGATACATTCCTAAGCTTTTGTTTTCCTTTTTCGTCTCCATGTATACTCGAACTCCCATATCGTTTCGAATTTCCAGTGGAGGACAACGTTCGTTGACAGTGTATTTGATTTTAATGATTTTTGTGGAGGTATCGATCATTAGATGCTCTGCAATTGCAGAATTCAATTCACTATAATTTGAATCCTCGTTGACTACAATTCCATCAACATTAAAATCTTTGTATCTCCCAATGCTATCCCAGTAACCATTTAGCTAAAGCATAATCACTAATTTTGACATTATGTCGCGAAATTCAATACAATTGTAGATAATTGTTTGCAATTTTTTTTTCTTCAAAACCTTCACTTATGGAAAACCAGAGAAAACAGAGAAAACCAGAGAATAGAACTTGATTATGCTGCGAAAATCATCAAAGAAAATCGACGTAATAGCATGATTCTACAAATACATTGGCTTGATTAATGTGTGATGATTGCGTCAGTAAAATCTCTGAAGAATCCTACGCGATCCCAAATTCCATCCTATGCGGTCCCAAATTCCAGCGTCTAAAAAAGGAAGGCTACTGCAAAAAGGATTCTACTTTAAATAAATATATATATTTTGTAGATAAAACTTGTTTAGGTAGGATAAATAAATAAAAGTGAACATTTTTGGTAATAAAGTTTCAAATAGTGTATAGGAAAGAAAAAATTTCTTTTTAAAAAAAAACAAAAATCAAAGTCCATCATCATGATGGTGAAGTTAGGCCCGAAATCCAACCTGTATATTTCAAAAACTTTGATTACATGGAGGACATACACCATAGCCTCGATTACCACCAATCTAATGGGAACTTGTACAAACCTGTGGGAATAACTGTTCTAGAGAAATCAAGAGGGAGGGGACTTGAGAAATTGAAAGCTATTCTCGTTTAAGTTGGTGGTTTATTTAACTCTGAATGTAACAAGTCGCAATTCCAAAGCCACTGCACCAACTATTTCCGAAGGGGGTTGGAATTTAGCGTTAATTTATATTTATTTTTACTTAATTAACTCGATTCACAGCGAGTGAACAATACCAGTACTTCGCGTCCACCATTGGTTTTAAGTATGAAGACACTGAAGTAGAGTTGGATAGGTCTCTCATTTTGCGCTATTATGAGCAAAACTTCCTACTTCTAGGCTCTAGCAATTGTGAAAATTTCATATCCCTGGACCTCCTTCCCCATTTATGGGATTGCACTGGGTTTATTGTTATTATCGTCATATCCCTGGACCTGTTAATGATGCTCATCGGTTGAACGATTTGCTCTTTTTTCATTACTACTATTTAGCAAATTCTGCAACTATGGTAGAAGATCTTCAACTATATCTTTTTAAAGGATTATTGCAGTCAGAGAAAATTACAACAAGGATGGTCTCCAACCGACATTTTCTAGCATTAGAAAAAAGAAGAAAACCCAAGAAACAGACAAGGAACCAAGGTTTCTCACTTGGATTTCTTTCCCTGCTTCTTTTTTATCACTTCATCAATGTACATTATACCTTTGCCTTTGTAAACTTCAGGAGGCTTACAGCTCCTTACAGAAGCAGCAAACTGATGTACCCTATACTTGTCAATCCCAGTGCAGCAAATCACATTGGGTTTGAAACAGAACACGCGAACTGCAGGGGGCACACTCAGTTCAACCTCATGACTGTAGCCGAGCTTGAGGTACAAGAGACGACCCTCGGATTCTGCTCTAGCCTTGAAACCGACTCCAACAATCTTGAGAAAGCGAAAGAATTTAGCTTCCATTGGATGAATTTTACTAATCAACCTGAAACATGAGATGATATAACGAAATCTACATCAGTATAGTAGAAAAATATTGAAGGCCAAACAAGAAAGGACCTAGACAATAATACGTCAAGACAATTTTTACACTATTTGAAGCAAGCATGGAATTGAGAACTTATTCAAAGAGAATGATTTCAAATATCTGAAGTTTCTTTTTGTTATATGGATGATCCGATCCTCAAGGATCATGATTGGGAATTGTTTGATCGACTTTCTATGAGAAAAGGTCAAATAGAATCAACTTGAGTTCGGGACCGTTATTCGAAATTTTAGGGCAATACTGGATTTCAGCTTTTCATGAAAAAATATCAATTGAAATGGAGGGTTTCTTCAAACAACAAGGAGCTCGGTCAACTATTCAATCAAATAATATTGAGCGCCAAGTTTTTTTTTTTCTAAGTGAGGTACATAAGTTTACTAATGATGGAAAATCTCATATTTACAGTAAAGAAATATAGGTTGTACGACTTTCACAAAGTTTCTAAAATTTTCCTTTTCGACAAAACTAAAAGGTTGTTCGTCAACAATAATCATCCTAAATCTAAAGCCCTCCTACATAGTTGTTGATCAAATTTCCAAGAGATAAATGTTCCCTCATCCTATTGACCTCCTGGAATTGGTTGAAAGCCTATATTTGTTTTAACTAGTTTCAACTTATGGGGAAAGTTCACACAATTTGATGTACCATTATCTCTTGAGTGAGAAGTTACAGCTTATCATAATACTTACATTTTGAATTTAATGTCCCTTTAGAATCAGTAAGCTTTTAAATTGTACCCACTCAACAGATCTAATATTCGTGGGTTTCCATTTCTTTGAATCAGTTCCATTTGTGGATGTGTTACCTGTGGTTTCAATTGAAACCTCAATGTCACCTACTTGCAATCTCTGACATCTATGAAAACAAACAATAAATTTATATCAATTGCACATTTGACTTATTGAAGAAGAAGAACCTTTGGACCTGCCGGTGATTTTCTCACAGACGACTATCGGAGATTGAACCACTTCAACTCGTAGTCGGTCATCAAATGGTGCTCGTCGTCGTCGTCGTCGGAGAACCTGAGACTGAATAGGAGGAACCGGGAAATTGGGAGGGGGAGGCTGAAACCAAATGCTAAAACCCTAATAAACCTTTTTAAATTTTATCGGGTGGCCCCAAGGACAAAACCTCAAGCTGTCCTTTGGTTAACTTGCTAGTTATGATGTTTATGAAGTGGGCGTTTGGACATAAGAATTGCAAAATTCCGAAAGTTAAAAGTAAAAATAGTATTTAAAAATTAAAGTTGTGTTTGAAAATAAATATAATTTTGGGTTGTTTTTAAATTTTTGTGAGTTGGTCTGAATGAAAATTTTGAAAAATAATTTTTTGGAGTTTTTCAAATTTTTAAAAAATTTTAAAATTTATTTTTAAATGAAAATTGAAAATTTTATAGCCAAACACTGATTTCGAAAAAGGTAAAAAAAATTCGAAAAATAGTGAAAAAAAATTCATGGCCAAACGAGCTCGAAGTAATTAATAATGAAATTGATTAATAGTTAAAAAATTATTATATATAGATTATTAGTTTAAACAAAATATTTTTATCTTTAAATAGTTAATATATATTTTAACATCTATAATAATATATAGGTTCTTGTATAAATTAATGGTGGTATTATTTAATAACGCCTATGAAAACTCCATTAGTTATACGGAGATATCTTTTTCTTATATATATAACCAACTAAATATTGTATCATCTTACTTTTTTTATTGAACATTTTCCATCTATTAAGGGTTGAGAAAGAGAAAAAAAAATGAAAGCAAGAGAGCAATTAGGACAGAAATAAGGGGAAAGGAAAATAAGACACAAAAGATATTCAAAAAGGAGAGCATCCAAGAAGTTGTTTCTAAGCCTAATGACCTACAAGTCACCAAAACAGCAATTTTATCATTAAGCCTGGTCTCATACTAATTGAAATTTCTAACTATTACCCAAATTAAAGGTAATGACTTAAGATTAGCAACAAATAATATACCTAAACATGAAGATCCCAGCCACCAGCGATGTCTGACCGAGCAAATAAATGCCTAATCAACTCCGCATAACTGAAGATCTGATTCATCGCTACAAATCCAGGTACCAAGTCTTCAAATCTAACACTCCTAGTTAGGGGTGTTCGTCGGTCGGTACAATACGGTATTTAGATATTTCGGTTCGGTATTTTTGATATTCGGTTTCGTAAAATGCTATATCAATACCGTACCTAATTAAATTCGGTATGGTTCAGTTTTTCTCCTTTCGGTTTCGGTTTATTCGGTTCGGTATTTTCGGTTTGAATACTAACTAGTGCATAAAGTCATAGACAATAATATTCTTAATTAAAGTACTCAAAAGTACAAAACTAAAAATATTTGTTGACAAAAGTTTTGTCCAAAACCAGCAAATACCAACCTAGAGAAAGAAAAACTTAGAGAAATATCTTGTTACTTACTTAGAGTTAATTGATGAACTTAGAGAATAAAGAAAAGTAAAATTTTAGATTTCTTATATTTATGTTATAATTAATAAAATGTGTATTGTGTAATATAATATATATTTCGGTACGATATCGGTATTTTGGTATTTCATTTTAAAACACCAAATACCATACCTAATACTAATTTTTTTTAAAACTTAAACCAAATACCATACCGAATACCAAAATTTTCGATTTCGGTACGATAATTCGGTATTTACCAAATTATGCACAGCCCTACTCCTAGTATCGTCGGAGCCTATTGTTCTCTGCTTTCAATTTATCAATTTCTCTAATTCCAGTCTTGTCACGCCCCCAAACTGGGGTGGGATGTGATGGCGCTCAACCTATCTTACCCGTTGAGCGGACCGTGTTCTTTCTAATTGAAGGTCATATCAGAACTTAATCTTTAATGAAAGCTAATAAAGTAACTATTTTTACATGTTTTAAAAACTAAACAACACACTTAATATAGTAATGTTCTAACATAACCCACTAACAGTCATGAGCCTCTAAGAAACTGAATTTTAAATATATGGTCTACGAGCATTCCCCGAGAATAATATGAATATCTAAAAATAAATGAAGGTCTGAAAGAGAATACGTACGTTGCCGCTGGAAAGAGTCAATGGAGCTCACCAACTGAATCGGGAAAGTTTGCCTCGAGCCATGCACGTGTTTTTCCACCTAAAAACTCAACGCATGTCACACGACGTGGTATGCCGACTAATAGCTTGTTTGGCCAAACTTATAAAATCTGCTTATTTTGAGAAATGCTTTTTTCAAAAGTGCTTTTCAAAAAAGTACTTTTTGTGAAAATCAATGTGTGTTTGGCTAATCAATTTGAAAAGCACTTTTGAATAGCAATTAGTATTTGGACAGACTTTTAAAAAATACTTCTAAGTGTATTTTTCTCAAAAGTATTTTTCAAAAAAGTGCTTCTGCGAGAAGCTACATTTTTCTGTTTCTCAAAAACTGCTTCTGCTTCTACTCAAAAGCATTTTTTTTCCTTCAAAAAGCTTGGCCAAGCACCTTAACTTTGGCAAAAAAGAACTTTTGGCCAAAAAAATAATTTTGACCAAGAAAAAGTTTGACCAAAGAGGCTATAAGTACCACCAAAGGATACCCAGTATTCTCGTTGACAACTCCCTATGTGGAGGACAAGACTAGCATGGGCTACGTGTGAATATAAAAAATACAACAGGTAGAATTGGCAATTCATATAACAAATACTGAATAATCTAAAAGCCAAAAATAATTCTGAAAACTAAATATTTATTGATATAAAGCTGAAAACTAGGTATGTATCTGATAACTGAAACTAAAGCTGAAAGTTGAGTCACAAACTGATATCTGAAATTGAGGGTGAAAACTGAGTTCTTTTAAAGAAATAACTTTTCTGAAAACTTTGCACGTAGTGGCCCTACATGCGTGAGCATTGTTGCAGCCAAACGCACACGCAAGTATACGCGGTCGTCAAATAATAAAGTGACTAAAAGTCGGATGTCG